CACACACTAACTAACTAACTAACTACTACTACTACACTACATATAAGTATAGTACACACACACACACACACACACACACACACACACACACACACACACACACACACACACACACACACACACACACACACACACACACACACACACACACACACACACACACACACACACACACACACACACACACGTCTCTATTGTTTGACATAGCTACATTCTTTTCATCATATCTCTTCCAATACTCCCCTATGCAGAGGAAGATTTTTTATTTCATCTATCATCATTTTTGTTCTGACTCTTTGTCTCTCCCACAAACCCACATTTTCAGAATGGGACACAACGAAAAATATGTCAGTAGTCATATTTCACTGACTACTTTGTTTCTCTTTGTATTTATTCCCGTTTATCCTTTGAAGTTTTTTTTAGAATTCTCCTAATCATATGTTTTATTGATCTATAGGTTGTTCTTGTTTCCTCTTTAACTGCGTTGGTGCGGTGCCTTCCTCAAAAGACACCTTCGGTTTGAAGAGAAAATAGAGGGAACAATTCCTTCTACAGTAAATGTGTGGTCATTATTCAGCCTTAAATTATGTTTAAGTCAGGACATTGATGTTTGTATAGTGGGATCTTTTTAAAGGTTTATAGACAAACATTTCCTGTCTAGTTTTAGCCTGAAAAATGTAGCTCTTCAGGTTTTGTTGTCTGATTGATTGTATGTGAATGGCTGTTTCTCTTCTCCTGCTGTGCTGACATAGTACCCACAGTGCATTCAAGTCGTTCTGTCAGACCTGTTTCTTATATGTGGGAAGCTTCAGTGTCATCAATTTAACAAGTAACGCAGAAAACAAGACATGGAGTCCCCCCTGTTTCCAATAGATGGCGTGCTGCTCCAGCACTGAGTCTGTCACTGAGTCAGTCTCCTCCTGCTTATCATCCATCACCATCTGAAGCTGGTTTATCTGCAAACATTTGCGGAAACAATTCTGCTTTAGTCTGTCTGCATGACTCACTGGTATGTGACAGAAAAGTATTTGTAATGCCTCTTCGTAAGAAGAAAAAGAGCACTGGGATTTTATTGACTTAAATTCAGATTTCAGTTTGTCAGTTTTGTTGTTCGTCACAGCAGCAGGTTTATTTCTTCTTTTTTTGTGTTTTTATTATTTTAAGTTTTTACTATTTTAAATATTTTTCTGAGGCTAGTTGCATACCATCTATATATCATTTGAAAGAGCCTTCGTGTTTAACAACATGTGAAGTTTTTGGTTTGAAACTAAGAAAAAGTGGAATCAGAGATGAGATGAAATGGTCCCTTTGAGAAATTGAGTCTGCTTCAGAGAGCTAAACAGAATCAACATTGAGTAGAAACACACCTATATGAACACTTATGGTCATGATTTGCTGATTCCCCTCAGTGATTTTGGTCAAAAGCTATTGTTTCCTCTGTTTACCCAAGTGAGTGACAATAAGTCACTGATTGAGCTGGAAAACCAACTGCTGTGTGACAAGGGCGTGAAATACAAAGACATTTGGTCACAGTGGAAGACAGACCTTTTTCTATCTGTAGTCTAAAAGCAATTTATTTAAGAGTGAACTTAATGTGCTGTTTTATTCTTTTGAGATTTTCTGCTATACCAAAACACCATTTGCAGGAAATCAATGGCAGTAATGTGATCCAAACAGCAGCAATCTAAAATCAAATGAAAAATATGACTTACAATATATAATTGAAACTGTTACAACTATTAGACATTTTGGATTTCTTTCCCAGTTAGATGATGATTGGCACGTTCACATTTCTACCTTTCTAAATATGAAGCTAAAGCAGCCGAGGGTTAGCTTAGCATAGCACAACAACCTGGCTCTGTGCAGAGGTAACATAATCTGCACCCCTAAAGCTCATGATTAACATATCACATATTGGTTCTTGTTCCTGGACTGCTCGCAAGAAATGCTTTAAATGATCTCAAAATTAGAATAAAGTTGAAATTCATGAATTCATTGGCCGGAAGCAGTGACTTAGAGTCTCTGGCAACAAAAATGAAATGTATCCTTTTCAAAAAAGGGACTATAGCAGTAAGACATGATAATGATACATATATAGTCATAACTTGTAGAGGTGCATGGGTTTGGTTGACGATTGTGAACATTAACCCTAATCGTCTTGATCTGAAGTTCTTGACGTTGATGAGAGTCTTTGCGGTCCTTATCAGCATGAATCTTTCTGTTTGTGCGTCACCAAGACAATGACGGCATCACGAGACGCCTTGGGTGTTCACTTTATGATGGTTGATTGTAGCATTTATAACAAGGACACCCTTTTTAAGATGGTTAATCATTAAAGGCTGCTGTGCCAGGACACACTGAACACCGCACGTTAATGATAGCTCCTTGTTGGAACACTCTTAAGAATCTCTTCTTCCTTAAATGACTATCTATCATTACTCTGAGAAGTGAAAGATTGCATTGCAAAGAAACTGACAAATGTATCATACATGTTGCTGCACTTTGGCGGAAGCTGTCAAAAAGAATCTTTTAAACTGGAAAAGCAGTGTTTCAAAGATCTGGCAGGCTGTAGCGTGTCAGTGGGCACAGGGTTTCCAGCTCCACTATGAAGCTTTTTTTCTTAGAAGCAAAATAAACAAAGAAAATGCAGAGTTTTGTTAGAAAGCTCTCAGTAATTGCATATCAAGGCTGCACATTTCTCTAAAGCTGATACTTAAATACTTTTTTGAGATCAGGCAAGTCAGAGAGCTGCAAAGTAGAAGGTGCTATTTTTGATGCCTCTGGTTCTGGAAGTAAAAGTTTTATTCATTTTCCCCAGACATGGTACTTAGAAAATATCTGCTTAAAAAAAAAGTGTTTTTTAAGCAAGATGCCTCACTATCGATAAAGTAGTATTTTGACTCGCCGACAAGCCTAACTGACAAAGCTCAGATTACTTTGTTTTACGGTGGAAAAATAAGACACTTAATTCACATACAACACCTATTTCACAAAGAGGTATGATCAAATCTATTTATTCTGGTTATTAGAAGCAGTACGTATGAACAGGAGTTGTAAAAGGTGTTGAGGTTGTGTGTGCGGTCTTCAGCTCAGTCAGTTTCTAATGTACGATGCTGAGAAGCTCCTGTGCCTGTGTTACTCTTGCTGCTGATCTTTTCAATCACGTTG